CTCTCTCTCTCTATCCTCCGCCTCTGCCCTGTATCCAGTCCCCAGCCTCTCAGGCTTAGACAGAAGACTGCTGGCTGTGCCTGACCTAAAAAATGAAATGAATCAATCAGCACTTCTATTTTGGGCTGTATTAGAAAGATTTTCTTCTGTTAAAACATCTTCTAAAAGACACATGAATAATGTGTGGGGAGAAAAAGAGGAAGAGTGAGGGGGCACTGGGGAGGAAGAGAGAGAGGAGAGAAAAGAGCCTAAAGGAGTCTGAAAAGAGACACAAACCATGTCCACAGCGTCTCTTATATTTCACAATGACGTGAATTACTGCATGCACGGATTATAATACACTGCAGACACAATGCCCACATTTTTTCATCTGAATGCTGTGTTCTGATATAGAATCAGTTTGTGCCTGCTACATCCTACAGAGTACAGTTCTATAGACAAGGGGAATCTGATCCTAGTGGATTTTTACTTCATAAATATGACCTAGTGTGAGTATAACTTTGGACTGGTAGCAAAGATGTAGAGCTAGATTAAGCCTTGCATCTTAGGTTTAACATTCAAGACAGATTTATTGATTTACAGCATGTACAGAATGGGCATATAGTCCTGTTTTTGTAAAGAGTATTAAAAGTAGAAGAATTAGAATTTTTAAGTTCCAAAATGTCTGACCTTTTCTGCAAAAGCTTTTTTTGTGTGTGTACTCAGTCATTGCACACATAAATAAAGTAGGTCCCCATGCTTTGTCATGAATGTTGTCAGTGTTATGATTTGGAGAGTCCACTAGTGCAAGTACACTGTGGATATAAAAAGTCTACACACTCTTACTAAAATTTCAGGTTTTTGTGATGTAAAGCCAGAAATCATGTCAGATATATTTCCATTTTAATGAGATCTTGGAAAGAGCAGAATTTAAAAGAAAAAGAAATAAAAAAAAACAATTGAAGATAAAAACCTAAAGTACCCTGGTGTACATACTTTTTATAGTAGGGGCTGTAGATGTTTTCAGAGTTAACAAATCACATTCGAAATTATGTCAACATAATTTTGAGTAACCTCAAATAGGTGGAGGTGAGGAGCTGCCAAAACATCTACAGAATCTTACTGTTAAAAGGTATAGATCAGGTGAATGGTGTAAATGAATATCAAATGCATTACCTGTACCACAGAGCACTGTGAAGACTCTTATGAACAGGTGGAAAAATGTAGCACCACAGGGACATTGCCATAATCAGGAAAATCCTGTTGATGACAGGACAAGAAAAAAAAATCAACCAGGCAACCACAAGGCCTGCAGCAACATAAAACAGCTGGTAGCTACTGGCCACTCCTTTCTTGTGGCAACAATCCTCCATATTCTGCATAACAGACAATTTAAAGCCATTTGTCAATGAAAAGGATCGGCTAAGGCCATCTAAAGTTTGTGAAAAATACATTCAGTCACCTGAAACCATTTGATGAGACAAAGGCTGATGTTGTGAAGCATGGTGGTGGAAGAATCATGCTTTGGGGCTGCTTCTCTTCAGCTGGGACGGTGTTTAGTCAAGATAGATAGGATAATGACTAGCTCCAAATGTCAAGATGTTGGCACAAATCATGCTGGCCTCTGTCAGAAAACTGCAATGTTACATTGAAAAGGGGAAAAAATATTTGACCTTATCTTGATTTCTGGATTTACATCACACAATCCTGCAGTTTCAGTAAGTGTGTGTAGACTGTTTATATCCACTGTAATAAGTCCTTGGTACTTTTCCGCAGAACCTTTTTGAAAGGACCGTACTTGTAAATATAAAGATAAAGAAGAAGGAAGATAAAGAACCCCAAATGGTTTCTACCTGATGCTTTTTTTCTAAGACTAAGCTTTGTGCGAGAAAGTCTAGTGCATTACTGGAAAAGCTGCGCACACACACACACACACACACACACACACACACACACACACGCACTGTGAGAGCTCAGTAATCCTTTCGAACAAGCCCTGAATTTGGAGGTTGGCGGATTTTCCCCATCAAAGGCCAGAGACCACCCACCAGAACACACAGGGACAATAGCACTTAGATCCGGAAGCTTCCTCCTGGTCTCTACACCTCTAAAGCTCTGATTCGGCAGGCCCGCCATGCGCACACACACACACATACAGACACACACATAGTGCTTTGAGGTCTGAGTTTGTGTTTACTAGCCGTGTGTGGGAGAGAGAGATTGTACATGTGTCCATGTGCACATGCTATTCTTTGTGCATACATATATGTCTGTGTGGGCATGTGCGCACTTGCATTCGTTTTATTTAATTGCTTCCCTTTGAACGGAAAGTACATGAAAAGAACAGAAGCTTTTGTCGGCGGAGATTCATAGTGAAATTTAAACTATTTGTTGCTTGAAAGCGGCTTTTGAAATCAAAGACAAAAGGGTGTGAAAGATGGAGGCTAATAACAACAGGCAACATCCAGTCATTTGCGTGTCCGGATTAGGCGTTTGAGCCCAGCAAAGCATCTTTTTCCTTTCTCTTCCTCCCCTTTTCCTTCTCTTTCCATCACAAAGGCAGCGGGCTCTCTCTTTCCCCTCCTCCCTTGCGCTGGCGTTTTGTATTTGCGTGATTGATTGCTTCCAAAGACTATATTTTTGCTTTGTGTTTCTAAGAGAATGACTCCATTGTGAAGCAACGATTTTTCTCTGTATTTCTGTGTCGGGCCTCAGAAGCAGCAGGGCCGTTTATCTGTAGGAGAAGGAGCAAGGCGAGCTCGGACGAATATGAGAAATTTCCACAAATATGCACAGTGAAACCAGTAGCAATTAAGCATGAGCACAATGTGAAATTATTGTATGTGTATATCAGGTGAAATAATTGTATATGTATATTAGGTTGCTCTTGTATATATGTATATATACAAAAAACAACCTAAAAAAGTATCTTACGAATATAAGCATAATGTAAACCATATCTTACTGTTGTAAACAAATGTGATGTAAAGCATCTGTAAAAACAGAAGCAGAAACATTATGAACCTGCCTTTAATAATCACACTCAGGAGAGTGAAAAAATAGGAAGTTCCAAGAGACAAGAAAATGAAAGTTCAATTATGAGGACAAAAATGCAGAAAAGGAGATAGTAAGGTATCATTAAAGGCAGTGGAGCTTTACCTTTGTAACAGTGGCTCTAAATCTCTCAGACTCGTGAGCAAAACTCTGAGAGTGTCTCCGTCGAGCAGTCAAACTCGCACTCAATTCTCCCCGACTCTGACTTTTATGATCCGCTTGTAGTGACAGCGCAAATGTGCTTATCCCTGCAGATTTCTAGAGGAGCTGTAGAATATAATGTGCGTGTGTGTTAACATCAGGTAAATTACTCATATCTCACACCTTATGTGTTAGACTTCATAGTGTGTGCGCGTGTGTGTGTGTGTGCGCGTGTGTGTGTACTGTGCATGCTGTCATTTCAGTAGATCCTCACCCCCCTCCCCAATCTTTCCCGCCCTCAATTTAATTGCTGCTTTTCAGGGACGCGCTTGACTGCATAATTGTCAAAACACGGTGTGATTGAACTCTCCTTCACATACCAAACCTGACACTTTCTGATGCATCTCGTCTCTTTTATGACACTTTTCAAATAAAGGGAGCGCTCCAGATGTTTGCCGTAATTTTTTTTGCCGCCGATTTCGGAGTACTGCTGGGAGCGTGTGCGGGAGGATTGGAGATTTGTGGGGACAGACTGTCTGTGTGTTTGGCAGGCGTGGACAGGTCCGCTCCCTGCCGCATATGAATATTTTAGCGAACGCTTACAAATTGGAGACAGAAATGGAATGAAGTGTACTAATGTTTGTTTATTATTGATGTAGAAATTATAAGGTGTCATATTAATTGCAGCGCTGCTTTATAAATATTTCAGCAGCAGCCCCTTTACCTTTCCTCTGGTGGTTTTTGATTTATTGTTGCTAATTCCGCCAACCAAATGATATCTGGCATCTTTTTTGATAAAAATATCAGCACAGCATGTCTAGCTTATATAGCCAGAGTTATACTGTTGTCCCACCGTTACCTTTATTTATGCTGTAAGTAGGATAATTGTATACAGTGCAGTCCAGTGACAGACTATTTGTTGTTTTAGCTCTGTGCTTAAGAATAATGCTTTTAAAAATGAAACAATCACTATGAGGTTAAAATACAGAATGTCAGCTTTAGTTTGTGAACATTTGCATCTAAATTAGGAGAGCTGGATAAGAAACCTGTGACATGAATGCATACTTCTCCCATTTTCCAGTGAGTTTGGAAGCATTTGGTAAGCAAGCAGCTTCTATTCACTTCCAAAATCATCCTGTGTGCTTCCATCATAAACAAGGCATACATGCCCATGCCATCATTGCTTTGGATCATCAGCAGCATCTTTTTTTCCGTACTTTTTATCATTCCATTACTCTGGTGCAAGTTTTTTTTTTTTTGCCTATGTCTATAAGACTCCCAGAAGTTTTTTTAATCTACATTTTAGCAGGATGTTATCTGTTTTTCTGTTCTTGTGGCTTACCAGTGGGTTGTATCTTGCGGTAAACCATACTGGCGTTGACACGCCTGATGTTTTGGTTGTCTCTGATGAGATTTATTCTGATTTATCAGCCTCATGATGGTCTGCTTTACTGACACAGGACACCTCATTGGTCCTCATGATGAGAGCAACAGATTTCTACAACCCTTGGCTTTTTATTAGCTCTGTGCTATTGCAGCGATACTGTTATTGGGCTGTTATTTTTACATATTTCACTCAGTATAAATGTACATTCTATCAAATTTAAGCAATTTAAAGTCATAGTGTTTAATTTCAAATCTAATGTCCTAGAGCACAGCATAACAAAAGTGATCAGACAATGTTGCTGTCCAAATTGCACTGTATATTTTTTTTTTTTGTGATCATGCAATTAAACATGGTCGTCATTTAAATATTAGAGTATTATAGTGTGACCAAATGCAAAAGCACAACTTTTTTTTTATCCTTCCATTTCCTCCCTCTGTAGGCACTCTACCCTACGAAATAAAGATTGTAATTGCCGGAAACCATGAGCTGACATTCGATCAGGAGTTCATGGCCGACCTGATAAAGCAGGACTTCTACTACTTTCCCTCCGCCTCCAAGCTGAAGCCTGAGAACTATGAGAATGTGCAGTCGCTGCTCACCAACTGCATCTACCTGCAGGACTCTGATGTGACTGTCAGAGGTTTCCGCATCTATGGCTCACCATGGTGAGTGCTTCTCTCTATCTATCTCTGTCTCTTTTGCTCTCTTTTTGTCTTGGTGTCTTTCTCTTTTTCCCTCTCAAAATTCAAGATTGCTTGGTGGGTGTGTCGTGTCAGGCACCTGTGACCTGTCTATGCCTGCCAGATAGCTTGTAAAAACAACAAATGAATGCATAACTGCAGGTATATTTTGATAATGAGTGTGGCAGACATGCTGTAATCATACATTGGAATGCTAAAGGAATTTAATACCATGTGTTTGCTATTAAAAGAAATACAATATTGCAGTATGTACAATCTTGGTGTCAAAACTCTAAGCAGTGTCAGAAGTGTTAAGTTGAAGGGGGAACTGGGTGGGAAGTGGGAAGATTGTTTCAGTCTCTTAGTCTCCTTCTCTGTTCATCACCATATGTTGCTCTGTGTTCCCTTCCCCCTCAAGTCCGCCTCTATTTTTGCTCCATCTCTTCCCAATTCCCCCTTTCTCTCTCTCTCGTTAACACTTCTGCTGGCATCCCTCCTTGTCCTAGGCTTCCTTCTTATCGGGCGCACACTTCATTGTGTTGCTTCCCTCCCACTTAGGGAATGTGTATGCTTGTAAGAGAACTTGCCACAACCATGTACAATGGCAGTATGAGTAGTAAAGAAGCCAAATGTATTTGAGCCTGTCAGTTTGTGCGTGTGGGTGTGTTTAGGGTGTGTTTTGGGTAAGCCCTGGAGGCTGCGTATTGTGCCCAGTGTGGGATATGTTGGTCCCTAGTGCCAGATAATTGGTTTTACAGTTTCCATGGCCCCTTTTATATAGGTGTGTTTTTGCCACTCAGTATGCAGCCTTCCTTGGATATGTTTAGTGACAGGCAGGTTCTTTTGATAATTCTAAAAACCTGGTAAACAGTCTAAAAACAGCAAGCATGATAAGTGTATGGTATATGTGTGCACATGTGCATGCGTGAGTACATGTGTACGTGCATCACTGTCACTCTGATGGTATTTACTACAGTCATCAACCCATGAGCTAGATTAAAGCCATCTAATATTAATCCACTCAAATGTGTCAAGAAGTAGCCTGTGTGTGACGTTCAGCCTGCAGTCCTAATAAAACATTAGTGATGCTGAAGCGTGGTAATGGTACTCTGCCTGAGGGAAAGAAAAGAGTTAGTGCTCGCATTTCATCTCTTCTCTCCACTTCTCTCTACTTTTCTGTCCATCAGTCTATCCTACCATCCCTTCATCCGTTTCCCTCCTTCTGTCACTCGGAGTTGGGCGTGCTTCTCCTCTGTGGGACAGGACAGCTCCAGTCTCCTCACCATGCCGATGCTGTTCCGCTAAAGCAGAGGGCTTTATGGACCGAGTCCCGTGTTGCCGCGGGTGATGGCCGCCTCTGATCTGAGCGACTACAACTCCGGCTCCCTTGACAACGTTCATTTCTTTATCCACCCATCCGCAATTCCATCTCTCGCTTCATCTGTCCATCAGGCCGAAAGGTTCACTAATCTGAATTCCATTCCTCACTCCCTCTGTTCTCTTCACTTTCTCTCTCACCTCTCACTTTTGATTACTGATGGACCAAGCACTGCCCATAGCAGCTTCACCAGCTTTACTGCTTCATCTGTCCTGTTCTCTCTCTCTCTCTCTCTCTCTCTCTCTCTCTCTCTCTCTCTCTACCACTTTTTGTCCCTTCCTTTGGCAGTCTCTGAGGTCAGTGATACCAATTTGTCACAGTGGTCTTTGTGGTAGTAGATGCATGCTCTCTATCCCTCATACAAACACACACACATCTTTAGTGGGCTAAATGAGATCTTGGCACACTGCATTTTTCCCTAAATCCGGACTATTTGTCATGCGGTGATTCTGGAATGAAAGGGACAGCATGGGGGAAACATGTGGCGTGTTTTTCTGCTCTGCTGACGCTAATGCAAGTTTACAAGTCATTTGTCATCCGGAGATCCACAGAAGCAGGGCCGCTCAGCGGTGGGTGTGTGTGTGAGTGTGTGTGTGTGTGTGTGTGTGTGAGGGAGATAGTGAGACTAAAGACAGGCTGAAGCCTGTGTGGGTGGATGGAGTATTAAGGATAGCTGTCCCTTTCAGAAAGCGTGAAGTACAAACAATGTGTAGGACCCACACTACATACTGCTCTGAGCCTCTGAGCTTCACACACACACTTAATGCTCATATGCTATCAACCACATGCACACACACATACGCACGCAGACAGTTACTAACAGACATAAGCGACACATTCAGAAACCATGCGGGTGGAGATATTGTGCTATTCGTACAACCTGTGTACGCTATGGGGGGTTACCAGCAGAGAAAAGCTGCTTGCTGCATGTTTAGTGGTATGATAGAGGTAATGTGGCTTTTAGCATTTTAATGGGGAAGGCATTGCAAATGCAGTGCAAGTGAGTGGATTTGGTGCAGAATACTGAGTCCAATGTAGCGTTATTTCCATACTGACCATGCGTAGTGGGGCAATGTAGAGTTGGTCATAACTTGGCGCTGATTGTTTTAACAGCAAGAGGATCAGGGAGATTAGCAGTCAAAGTTTATTGCTGGTTAGTTGCTCCTGTTTGGTTCTTCCTCTATCACTCTTTCTTTCTCTCACACTCTAGCTCTCTGGGCGCTGAACTGCTTTGCGCACAGCAGGAGCCTCACCAATGCGGTTGAACGCAGCACGTGCCAATTTTGGGCCAAGACAGATGAACCCTATAGCTCAGTGTGCTCACTGAATCACCTAATGTGTGTGTTTGCGTGTTTGTGTGTGTAACTGTTATTTCAAACTATGACTGTGATTGGTGTTATTGATGTCTAACAGTGGCTGTCATACCCCTTACTCAGGGAGCGATAGATAGAGCAGAGGAGGGGTGGAGAAGCTTTTTTTTTTCCTCATGAAAATGAAAATTGAAGAAATGTTAGCTACCCACTGACTCCACGAGGAATAATTAACGCTAGAGATGCAAAAGACTCCGTAATTAGATTTTTTAATTATTGAGGATTTGCTTCTCTTCTATAGTGGCCCAATTAAAATACCGCATCAAAAAAAGAAAGACAGAATGGGAAAAAAAAACTAAATAAAGGAAAGAAAGAAAGAAAGACCATCCTCCTCTTCCTGTCTTTTGGTGTCAGAGGCAGTGTACTTGTCTTTCTTTTTTTTTTGTTTGATGGCTGTTCTGCGCTGATGAAGGCCACACGCTCTCAGCCGCTAATGAACATCTCTGTGTTTGGATGGTGGGACTGATGAGGGGGGAGGAGAGGAAGATAGGTAGAAAAGATGCCTAATGATCAGGTGGAGAAGGCCCTTCGAGTTGGAGGGGATGTGAGGGTAGTGTGCTTCGCTGGTTGACCTTGCTTGTGTGCCTTGGTGAATTAATTAAGGTGCCGGTTGATGCAGAGCTCGATTTGGTGAGAGGAGAGAGATAAGCATGGTGGCGACTGGGTCTTCCCTCAGGGAAAGAGACGACCACTTTGGCTATGTAGGGCTGGCCACAGGAGGACCCACTCAATTAACAGCTGTGGGGGGGCTGGGCTTCGGAGCGCCCCCTAGCCATGTTATCATACGCCCCTCAAAATGCACACATACATGCACAGAGGAAAGTGTATCCTTCAAAATGAAAAAATGGATGAATGACCAGAAGTTACTGGAGCATCTGCTTGTTTATTTTTCTTATTATTTTTGACATTGTGTTCTGTGTTCTGTTCTGCTCTTTGTGAGGCCCCCCATAGTGCTGTCAGTCATACTGTGTGGGAAAGGGGGGAGGAGAGGAAACGAGGGGGGGAGAGAGAGTTAGAGGAGGAGGGAATGCTCACGGCAATGGTTTCCTCAGAGGGACTTCGCCTCAATTTACCTATGAAATGGTCTAAAGGGATTACATTCCTTTTTCTTTTCGGCGCTCTGTGTATGTGCACATTAGGATTGCCGCTCTACGTCTTCTACGTCTACGCTGCTACTTAAGGTCTGACATGCAGCATTTTAAGTGCACTTATTTTTGTAGAAAGATTGCATAATTATTTTTGACACAATGTAGACTTCATGAGCCTCTACACCTTTTCTTTCTTTCTTTCTTTCTTTCTTTCTTTGAGTTTCCTGCATGGTCTGCTGTGTAGGTAGAAGACCTCCCCCGACCCCTGCAAATAACCTCAGCCATTCAAACAAACCGCTCTTTATCTATTTCTTTATTCTTCTTTCTTGCTCCTTGTCTGCAACTGATCCCTCTGCCTGCCTGGTGCTGTTGGGCTTTGCCTTGGCGTCAGACTGGCGTGAGAGCTGCCCACAGCGAAGGCACTTTCACACCTATGCTGATGGAAGAAGCAATATGGACTTCTCCCCCTCTTCATTCCTCCCTCCCTCCCCTATATCTCCCTTACTTGCTTCCTTTCTCTCTCTCTTTCTCTGCCCATCTCTCTACCTCCCTTGCCACTCCTTTCTTTTCTCTTCACTTCCTTTCTTCTCTCCCTCCTCCCGGAGAAGTTTGAAATAATTTGCGTCTCCTGGGTTTTTACACATTCTAATTTCGAACTAAATGGGACATCTGTTTGAGAAAAGGAAGATTTGCCATGGTTGCTAAGGCAACTATCACTCCATGGAAAAGAGAAAGAGGGAGAAAAAAAGAGGTCCAGCAGTTTTACAGACTGAATTAGTACCAGAATTTAGTAGTGCACACATTACGTCCCACAAACATCTTTCATCTTTCCCTCAAACTCACGTCACTTTTTCTCTTTTCTTCATCCTTCTCTCAGTGCAATGGCCTCACCCTATTAATAGAGAATCTCCCTCTCATTTTTTTCTTCATACTCTGTCCACAATGTAGGATAAAGAAATTATGGCATATGAGACAATTATCATTGTGGCCTAAGAGTTCTGCCAATTAGAAGAGAAAAAACTCTCATCTCGATGTGCAGCTAACACACACATGCAAGCCATCATATGAACGGGCCTTTATCTGCCCAGAAAGCTGCTCATTTCTTATGGTAATTGATCATTATTTGGAAATGTGCTATTGCAGCAGTCT